AAATAAACCAAACATATACCTAGGTAACTCCACGCATATGAACTTAAATCTTTAACGCTTGATTGACGTGTGTTGAATTACCTGAAAAGAGAAACATAAACACCAAAAAACTAAAGAATATATTAGCAATAAATTGTTTGACAAACCATCATCAAAACTATAGGGTCAACAAGGGGTTTAGGGTTTTTTTACCTTAAACCAACGCAGAAACATGTACTCTAGAAATCTGACGAGGTATCGATTGATAGAAACTGATTCTTTAACCATGAACCGATTGTTCAAGATTCCCAGATCAATCGCACTGCAAAAGACCGAGGTTCAAGAAAACCAATGAAGCTCGAGCTCAAGCAAGCGATAATGGCATCAAGAATTGAGCACTAGACCTAAAGGAAGACGAAAAGGCGTGAAGGAGTTGGTTCATCATTGGATTTGGGGGCGGGAACAAGAGGGGAGAAAACCCTAGATTTTCCACCCTTTAACGACCGTGAGAAATGTTATTGGGCTGGGAAAATGGGTATGAATAGATAGAAATTAGTTTGAAATTGTTTGTGTCAGATTTCTGGGTGATTTTAGTCTATTTTGAGAGGAATCTGATTTCTATAATATGGGGTATATTTCTCTACTTTATAGAAAAAATATCTATAAATTTTTTTTGGACCAAACACGGTTCATAGAAATCTACAAAAAAAATTTATATATAAAAATGCCACTATCAGCCCCTTTCTATAAAAGTTTTCTATAAACTTAAGGGGTGTTTCGTTCAATAGTAAGAAAGAATAGGATTAGAAAAAAGATGTTTTTATGGATTCCTTCCTAAGATATAAAAAATTTAAGGATATTTTTTTGTTGTCATAGAATATTGTGGAATCCTATTTTTTTTACCTTACTATATTTGTTTCATAGCATGAAAATATAGAATCCAACTTTATAGAAACTTTCCAATTTATATGTTTTTGTTTGGTTTGGAATGAGAAATTTTTGGGATAAATGGATGACAACAGCATAGGTAAATTTACTACTCACTGGTGGACAAAATATTATTAAGTAAGAAGTTGGAATAACCTTAACTGTTTACCAAAATTCAAAACCAATAAAAACAAGACTCCAACGCCTAGTTCCAAGGCCTTGGAGGCTATAAACGTGGATTGAGGGCTCATGGTGCCAATATATCTCTCATTCTTACCATCATATTAAATTCTCATAGTTTGTAAGTCATATCTCCTTTATCAATATGATATCAAAAGAATGCCCTAAAAATTTTAAAGTTTGGTGCGATTGTAATCTCCAAACACCCTTGAAAGTGTGCAAGAATAGTAAAAATAAGAGAGGTATTATTGGGGGTGTGCAAAATACCCAAATAAAAATATAATTTTTTTTAGTGGGCTCATGGAGGAGGAGAAATAAGCAACCTAGGAAACCAATTTGTCAAAGAAAACAAGTTTGGAGATAAATAATTTTTGAAATCAAAGAGGCTGAAGAAACAATTTTAGTATTTATGTATTTTATATTATTTTAATTATTATAAACCACTTGTCATGTTCTTGTACTTGCAAAAACTATTGTAATAACTGTTTCTCCCGATCTTATGAAGTCAGTCCTTATTTTTCTATTTTTAGTTTTATGACCCACTATACTTAGGAACATAATGAGCTATTCTTCGAACATGTCTTGTATCCTTTAATAAACCATTTTCTTTCATTATTTCAGCAAGTTTTAAAAAGGCCCTCAGTCTCATTCTAATATAAGACCGATAACTATCACTATAGCCTTCCAATACACGTTTGAAGTGAGCATCTCTACAATATATTTTTTGGTCTTTTCTTCCCTTGTATAACTAGAAATTGTCTTTCGCTTAACACGAATTCTCAGAAGACAAGTTATTATCGTGACCACGGAAGAACCAGTTGTATTAGCACACATCCTCTTTAATTGTTCTTCATCTATGTTGTCCATCTACATCCATTGTAAAATTAGTATTTATTAAGAACTTAAATTTTCCACTTATTCAAGACATAACAATAGTTAAATAACCAATTCATATATTGAAATCTTAAAATGAAATTTCTAAATATCCACAAATCTAAACATGCATCCTTGATCACATTAGATTCCGTAAAGAATTTCAGCGGGAATTTATTTTCATAAACTAGTTAGTTTAGCAATATATTAAGGCTATCCACTTGAATATATAAAGACAACATACATAGGGAAAATTTTTCAGTATTCGTATTTAAAAAAACAGAACAATGTATTGTGCAATAAAAAATGGAGTCTACATTATTGTTAACTTTCACGATGTTGCGTGTATTAGAAAAAACCCTAGTAAAAATAGATAAACCTAAAAATTTATAACCGATTATTAGCACGTAAGGAACAACGAAGCTCTAAATTATCAAAGTTTGACTGTCAAATCAACCATGAAAAACAACCATCCATGATCATGTATTAATTTTTTTAAAAAAATGGGTTATTGATTTATACCCCTAACTGCCAAAGCTCTAAATCAAGGCTGAAAACCGAAGCAGACAACCGAAGCTCAAAATCGAAGCTTGGGATCGACGCTCGAAATCAAAGCTTGAAATCATAGAATGAATCTGGATCGAAGCTCGAAATTGAAGAACGAAGCCGAAAATCGAAGCGTTGGATAGAAACTCAAAATTGCAATCAAAACTCGAAATTGAAGAATGAAGCTCAAAATCGAATGCACCCCTTGATATTATAATCGAAGCCACAAATTGACAAGAACAAAACTGAAAGCTTAGTGACGAGATCCCTTTGTGTTTTGTAATAGCAACTCATCAAATCTGCTCGGAATGGCCACAAGTTGGTGAGGCACGAACAGGATTGAGAAGATGCAGGAGGAGATTAGCCGGAACAGGCCGAAACCATTCTACGGTTTGTGGTGCGACAAAATCCGAAAAAAAAGGAATCAAGAAAGAGAACTTGGGTTTAAGGGATGTTGTCAGCTTTTTAACCCAAATCCACCCAAACCCATCTAATTTGGGTTTCTATAAAAAAAAAAACCCTTTTTATCAACTTTATAGATATCCATAACTATAAAAAATTTATGTACCAAATTTGGGAATATGATATCATTAGAATTCTTTATTTACAATTTTAACACCGTCAGATCCAATTGCTATTCCTAATCTATAAAAAGAGTGAAACAAACACCCCCGTAGTGGCCCTAAAGAAAGCCCACAAGCCGTTATTTGACCTCTTTTCTGTCTCCAGCAGCAGCTTACGCGATGTTACAGCTCAAATCACATAACGTGACAAAATTCATACCTCAATGATTTTAATGCCCAAGAGAGATTAGAGTCAGACAACTGTTAAGACAACAGTTGTAGACTAACAATTGTTCTCGCATATGGGCTTTTAGCAACAAAGATGAAAAGGAACTGATTTCCCGCTCAATGTAAAAGACCATAAGAAAATCTTACTCATGCTTATTATTGTTCCTCTACATTAAGCCGAGTCTTTCATTAGACCTTTCTTCCTCGAGTTCGCTCAGAGGTGACAAGAAACATACTTTCTAGCAACCTAAATCCTTACTGAGCTTAGATTCTCTACGAACTTGTTTTCTTGCAGAACACTACATAATTTATGTAGGCATTATTATTCATGGCATTTACTAAATGAAGAGGTACTACTAGTCAATTTAGAGTTCCTCCACAACCGAGCGTGCGTGTAGAGGATCTCTATCCATCCTCATTAGATCATTCAAAGGTGTCGAAGCCGACTTCCAAAAATGCAAATAGCTCCCTACATCTTATGAAACACAATCCAGGTTTTGATGCTCAGGTTCAATCCCGTTATCAACAGAAGCTCGTCGATATTCTCGTATTAATATTGCTACTTTTCTTTGAAAACAAACAAACAAGATACCAGCAGACTAAGTAAGAAGATGGGAGTCTCAATGGAGGGAAAATATCAGTGTTTATTGAACAAACAAACTCGAATATTTTCTATTCGACAGCGTACAGGTTTCTCGATCTCATTGAGAAGCGCTTAAGTTCATCATCATGCGCACAGAGACATAGGAGAAGCTGCAGAAAAGGAATTTTTGTCATCGAACAACTCTTGAGAAAAGATCCAAGGTCTCACCCTAAAGAAAACACTCTATCAGTAGAACTGCTCATCTCTCAGAAACAACAACAAAGGCATTATTCACATTTTGATATCCATGCAAATCCCAGTGGCACTATGTAGACATCCACACAAATGATAAACAAGACGCTGTATATTTCAAACTCCAACCCTTCTTCCAGTCTGGCGCCGTGACAAATGGAGTTGCTGATGACCCAAATGCTGGCCTGCTACAAGAACCCCAGGATCAGTGGCACACAGGAATACAAAAATAAATGTATCCAGTGATCTCGGTTCATCGTGTTAATGACTAACCAAAGAGATGGTTGTACTTGAATCAGTGGACTGGGATATTTGTATAGTAGTGAAGTGATAAATGTACCACGCCCTTGCATCAATTTGGCACTACCACACAAGAAAGAGTAGGGTCATTATGACTCACCACTATAATTTTTAAGTGGTGAGTCATCATGACCCCACTCTTTTGTGAGTAGTAGTACCCTAATCCAAAGGTAGTCATTACTTTGATGCACAACTTATGTGACGGACCAAGACCACTGAGAAAAAAAATTCATCAATCATCGCGTCCATCCATGATGGTCCGGAAGGAGCCCTGCTCGCCAATATATTTATCCAAAACCTCCTGTTTCACTTATACGAAAACCAGATGTTTTACGTTGATCCAACTATTTTCATGTCGTACCCTGTTACACACTGATCCAAAGATTCTCACATTGACCCCAACGATTTTCATATGCCTTGCACTGTTTCACATTGATCCAAAGATTCTCATGTGTCTTCTACTGATCCAAGGATTCTCATGCCTTTAAATACAACTTGGCTTGAGAAGCCAGTCCATTGGGTTATTTCTAAGAAAAAAAAGGGGCAAAATATTGATCTCAGGATTATCCTCCAGCGAATCACAAATGGATCATGGACCTCAATACTTCCCAGTGTTCTCACCTACCCCTTAGCCTTTCATTATAGTACCATGTCATTGTTTTCATGCCAAAAGAATATTTTTGACACAACCAAAGCCTATCATTAACTTATACAAAAAATTACCTGACATGACTACGAAAAGAAAATTCTTGAATAAAATTATCACTACTAGAAGCAGCAAACCTTTTGTTATCAGCAATGTCCCAGTTCATCAACAAATCAATCATTTCACACCCTCTTAAATCTCATGTCAGCACTGGACCCTCTCCACTGCACAAAAATTGCTCTATCACTCGGGAGAATTAGCCCCTTGTGCGGCTATCCATCCATGCACGTTGATCTCCATAATCTCAACCCCTCCCCCAAAAACAGTAATCACCCGATTAGAAGAAAGTATGAACAATATCATTTGCTATGAAACCCAAATTTGGGTTTCAATTCCTTTTCTGTTACAAGGGGGTAGGTAACTTATTGAAACGGACCTCAAGTGGAGGAGAATCTTCGGCCTCGGGCTCTGATGCAGGGGATCCAGGCTCAGGTGTAGGTGAAGAGGGATCTGTGACGTCTGCAAGAGCAGACAGCATGTTGATGACATCGTGGGAGTCATCAAGATAATACCTGGCTTTGCTTGGTTTTTGGCCTACTGTACAAGCGAATACTGATGTGGTAGCGGCGACCAAGTCCTTAGCCTTGACGCCAGCGATGCCTTCAAACATGTCCTCATCAGATCTGTCATCACCGATGCAGAGGACAAAGTCTGCTTGTCTTTTGCCTTCGACCATAGTTGATAAGATTTTCTCGGCTACAACGCCTTTGCTCACACCCTGCACAGCAACATCAAGAAAACAGGAATACGGATCAGTCACATGTGAGCAAGTGATACAATGGCTAGATTTTTAGGGGAGGTAAGATTGCTGGAAAATGTATGTTTATTTATATTGATATTAAGCTTAATATTAGCTTAACATTTTACATTCCTAACACAATACAAAAGCATAAACTGGTTTACTGGATCAAACCTTGTCATTGTTAAATAACTAATTAGTACTTAAATACCTTATACTTTACCCTACTTTGCACTTATATACTCTCAATTGTTTTTGGTAGCTACATTAAACTTTTTAAATTAACACATAAGTGCCTTCTGTAATGCAATACGTGAATTCCTTCAAATATTCTCAAAAGACGCTCATATGTCAATTTTATAAAATTTTACCTTGAACGTTTGTTGAATTTACTATTAAATATATCCCTATTCTATTTTAAAATAGAAGGATGTTGGTTTAAAATAGATTTAGTGCACATCATTTGGCTGAGATTCACCAACATCACTATATGTGAGAGAATCCCTCATATCCATTATTTTATGCGACCCACATCACTGTATATGAGAGAATCTCTCATATGTCGTATGATACCGATTATTCTATGCTAGGTTACACGGATACTATGTTTTGGGTGTCATATCCATGTCAGACACGGATTCACCGTGGACATGCCATGGGCACATGCGATTCAAAGCAAAACTTAATTTCTGCATGACTTATAAACCTAAACTAGTTCCATTGGTATATCAAGCTCAAAACCGTAACATTTTTTAACCCGAATATTGAAACCCATTACTTAAAGATTTGATAAATACTCATTGTAGCTCATGCGATCAAAACTAAACTTTTTTTTTTGTTAAACCTTAATTCCTAGTTTGATTTAACTTGATTCTTAATTGTCATAGACAGTAAAAGAAACATACAAATATTATAAATATTTTAATTCAATATTTCATTTAATGTAACTATTATCTATATATTTGTGTGTGTGTGCGCGCGCTTATTCGTGTCCCCATATCCTGTCTTTCACAAATATGCCATGTCCCGTGTTCATGTCAGCAACCATATCCATGCAACCTATAGATGCTATGTGTGTTGTACAGTCACAACCCAAAAGCTTAAGAATTCTGGTTCAAATGGGTCTTGCCAGCTTATGGCGACAATGTACTCTCCAGCATTAACAGCAACTAGGCAGGCAAGAAGAAAGACATGATCTGTAAGCCAAACTGCCCTTAGCCACCTAATAAAAATTGATTTCATCCACACTGCACTGCAAACTGATGAATTGAGATATGATTCTACCGACATATGATAATTGGAGGCAAAGAAAGCAGTAACTTGACATCTGAATTTCAGCCTACAGAAGCTTAGCAAAAGAACTAACAAAAATGGTATGCCACCTCCATTACCATAGAGTATTCAAGTAAAATCATTCTAAACTTGGAAATATCTGAACTATGAGATTTGTAGTCCTCAAAGTTAATTAATTGCATCATGGCAGGTACACAATGAACACTGACTCGTTTAAATTTGAGAAGGATTTGTAGTCCTCAATTAATTAATTGCCTCAAGACAGGGAGAATAAATAAGTAAGCTATTTAGTTCAAATTTGACAAGGATTTTGGTCCTCACAGTTAATTATTTGCCTCAGGACAGAGACAATGAAGAAGCTGACAAGTTTAAATTTGAGAAAAAATTCATCCTCAAAATGGTTTTTGAATATAATATGAAGAGGCAATGACTAACACAAAACATAAATCAGTCAGTGGTATAAGAAATAAGTAGAAGAGAATGGGTGAAACTTAATCAACATTGCAATTTAAAGTGTAATATTCTACTTCACTACATTTGTGGAGAGCACTTGAACAAGCTTAACATTAATGTAATTGTAAAAGATTAAGCATTTTAGATTAAAAAATAAAAAAGAGATCAATCAAATAAAAAGATAGTAATCAATTTTTTGTTTTTTTATCTTGGAGAAACTAGATGCAGTGACATAAACAAATACCTGAGGCTTCACTTCTACAATAAACTGGCCAGGCTTCACAGAGGCTGGTTCATTTGCAAGAACACTCTCTAGATGCTCAAGCATCTCTTTAGCCTGTGCAGATCCAAACCCTGGGTCGGCATCTTGATGGTGCCATACAAGGGCGCTTTCTTTAGCTTCCATATATGATCCATCTGTAGATTCTGTATACAGTTTCATAACTGGTTCAGCCATTTGCATCCATCTGAAGTCAGTACTCCCCTGGCTGCAGGTTTCCCAGTCTTCATCCTTATTCCACCTGTGAGTACAATAGAAACAAAAAAAAAAAGGTGAAAACAATAAGACTATAGTTCACTAGTCTTCTCTTTAAGAAAAGGAACAGTAAGTCCATCCCAATACAGATTCAAAAATATGCCACCTTGTAGCACAAAATTTTGAGTTCTGTTTCAACCAGTTGAACTGTACTAATAAGCCAACATCACCCCCTATCAGTTATTTATAGTTTTTTTTGTTCAAATTATCTGAACTTCATGGAAACCGGTCATCATATAAACCACCCAAATATACAATTGACAGAAGTCTCAACATTGCATCTATACCATGAAAAAATTTCAGCACTGCCCGAAGAAGTATACGATCTTCCGGCAAAAACAAGTGGTATGACAATAAATTTCTCGTCTATGGCTCATACACTATTTTTCCATATTCCCTTCAAATAACATAGTTTTCCCTTATTAAGAATAGCGAAAATTTGAACTGGACTACATTTTTACCATCGCTCTTCTAATGCCGTGAAACACTAAATACTGCAAAACTACCAAAATACAAAATCACAAGAACACCTAAAGGAAGTTTCTATTTTTTAGATTTTACTGATTTCTGTTGAAAAGAAACTATTCGTTCCACGCTGTGTGAGTAGCAAATTGTAGCAATATACAGTAAATATAGCAAGTAAAGATTCAGTTCATATCTTCCTTATTTAACGAATATTTTCAGTATTTATAAGAACTATCTTCAATTATTGCTACATACTTCTATATAAAGTTTTTGTTCTCAGAGTAATGAGAAGTATCCTAAAGAGCCACAAGTTTATATTACAGGTAATTATGACCTTATTTCTCTATAGTTCATACGCTCCTGCCTTGGCTTTAATTATGTTCTATCAATGCCTTATCAAGATCCTAATAATGCCCATAACTTGAACGGAATTCTCTGAAGAATGCATTGATAATGATATATTAAGTAATAATGTTGTATTATGCAATTCCAATCCACGCTTTTCCTAATTTTAAGCCTACTTATACTTAGGATATGATACAAGAGACTATCATAAACACAAAGGCAGAAACATAATACCTTAAGAAATAGCCATGTTCTGCTGCGATTCCAAGCTTTTTGCATGGTGAAAACCATGTCCCTAAGCTATTCCTTCCTCTTCCACTAACAATAAACACCACATTGTTCTTATCAGCACAGAGAGTATTAAGGATTGAGATGACTTCTGCACTTGGAGTCTTGTCAATGGCCGTCTGGGGCGTCATAGTTCCATCATAATCCAAAAATATCGCCCTGCTCTTGGACCTCTCATACGCCGAAACAATAGCATCCACATTTAACTTCCTGAAATTCGGATCAAGAGCCACTACTCTGAAACCGAATCCTAACCCGATCCCCCAACATCTCCTTCTGAAATGATCCTTGCAGCATCTCTCCAAGTCTAGCAAGAAGCTCTTTGCCCAGTAAGCCACATCATGGGTGCTCACATATTTGTAATGCTTCTCGTGCCTCAGCTGCTTCTCAGACTCTGACATTGATATAGCCTCATTCAGTGCCTCAGCCGTGGCATCAGTGTTCCAAGGATTGACACGGATAGCCCCACTTAGAGAGGGAGAGCATCCAATGAACTCCGAGACCACCAGCATGCTCTTCCTCGGTCCTGCAAGCTCCGACCCTGACTGAGACTCATTAAGCCCATGTCGACACACAATGTACTCATAAGGGGTAAGATTCATTCCATCCCTAACAGGAGTAACCACAACACATTCAGCAACAGTATAGTAAGCAATCCTCTCAGCTGCAGACATAGGTCGATCAATAAACAACACCGGGCTATACCCATCATTCCCAAATTGGGTACTAATCCTTCTACAGCTCTCTGCTATCTCGGCCTGTATCTCCTCAAGATCTCTCCCTCTCCCCCTAGCCGGATTAGCAATCTGAACAAGAACTGCCCTCCCTTGCCACTTCGGATGCAGCTTCAACAGCTGCTCAAAAGCAAGCAACTTCAAATTGATCCCTTTAAATATATCCATATCATCAACACCCAAAAAAATAGTCTTTCCCTCAAACTGCTGCTTGAGCTCATTGACCCTCCATTCCCTATCGGGCATCGATAAGGTCGTCTCAATCTGACCCATATGAATCCCGACCGGCATAATCTTAATCCCAACAGTCCTCCCAAAATACTCCAACCCAATGTACCCTCTCTTGGACTGATACTCGATACCCAACATCCTACTACAACAAGAAAGGAAATGCCTCGCATAGTCAAAAGTATGAAACCCAATCAAATCGCAATTCAGTAACGCCTTCAGGATCTCCAATCTCACAGGAAGCGACCTATAAATCTCCGAAGACGGGAACGGGCTATGAAGAAAAAACCCCATTCTCAATCTATTAAACCTCCTCCTCAAAAAAGTAGGCAGGGCCATCAAATGGTAGTCGTGGATCCAAACATAATCATCCTCAGGGTTAATCACCTCAATCACCTTCTGGGAAAACAACTTATTTGCAAGCACATAAGCCTCCCACAGCGACCGATCGAATCTGCCACCATGATCTGCAGAAAAGGGCAACATGTAATGAAACAGCGGCCAAAGCAGTTGCTTACAGAACCCATGGTAGAACTTGTCGAGCAAATCCGTGGGCAGAAACGCCGGAACGCACTTGAACCTCTCAAGGAGAGACTGAGACACGTCATCCTGTTCGTCGCTCGCGACCTCGACCCGAAGAGATCCGACATAGATCACCTCCATATCATCAGGGAGGCCGTCTTTGAGTTGGAGGAGGAGAGAATCTTCGTCCCAAGAGAAGCTCCAGCCGCTGTTATCGGGTCTGCGCTTGGCCTTAACGGGTAGCTGATTCGCAACGATGATGATCCGATCCGAGACGAGGGAGGAGGGGACGTCGGAGGAGACGCTGTTGGCGCGCTCCTCCTCCTCGAGCTCGGTTAGAGTTCCGGGGACAGTCATCACGCGGGAGAGGCGCTTCGATCGGAGGCCGCCGCCTCCTCCTCCTCCGGAGATCGCCGGGAAGTTTCCCGACGCGAGATCGAGGAGGTTGGTGTACGATCTCGACATCATGTTTGCGACTGGATCGGATCGGCTATAGGCTAGGCTAGGGTTTTGAGGGGGGGAATTTTTGAGGAAAATTGGAATCTTTTTAGCTTTAAATGGAAGGAGGAGAAATTCGATCAGGAGGAAAATTAATGAGGAGGGCAAAATGGATAAATCTATTAATTTTGGATTTGAATTAAAAAAAAAATTAATTTGAAAGAAAAAAAGGAGGGCATATAATGGTGATGGTGTTATGCGGCAGTCGGAGTGGGGTGGGGGGGGGGGTTGGGGGAGGCGACGCGATGTAAGTAAGGATAAGGTCGGCAGAGAGTAGGGTCCACATGCCAGCTGTCTGCTCACGTGCTAGCCTCGTGATTGGTGAGACCGGAACGATCGTCAGGCGACCCCCGCGTTAGACAGCCAGCTGTTCCGCTGGGCCCACGTCCCACTGGTTTGATTTGTACGCGGAAGTGCGTATACGGGATTTTTATAGGGAGTATGTTTGACCGTTGATCGTGTGCGGACAAATTACTGTGGACGATCCTACGGCTGGGGATCGGTTGTGGGCTGTCGGACTGTAGGGTGGGGCTTCGAGGTGTGAAAGGAGGAAGATGAAGTGGCGTGAAATTGTAACGTCATCCGCGACGTGTGATGCCCCTGCACGTGCTGTCATTTTGGAAAAAAACCTCTAAGGGGGTGTTTGTTTCAACTCCTATAATTTTAGCATATAGATTTCACCATGAGATTTGAAATCCATAGGTAATTTGTTATGGGTTGGGATTCCTAAAACTTTATTTGTTTTAATAATATTTTGGGATTTGGAATACTATAATTTGTAATATTTTTGTTTGTTTTAAATTTTTTGGAATTTAAAATCCTTAATTTGTCTAACACTTTTGAAATCCACCCCACATCCCACCTAAAAAAGAGGATTTCACAAATCCTTAAATATAATATTTTTTTATTATTTGGGGATTTGATATTCTAAAATGGATTTCACAAATCCTTAAATATAATATTTTTTTATTATTTGGGGATTTGATATTCTAAAATTTGTTTTGAAACAAACAAGTTTTATGTAATATTTTTTTATTATTTGGGGATTTGATATTCTAAAATTTGTTTTGAAACAAACAAGTTTTATGGAAGTCTAAAACCCAAAAAAACCCATTTTTTGATCATAGAATTAGAAATCCCACCCAAATGCCAAAAAAAATTGAAACAAACACCCCCTAATTCTAAGCAAAATCACCAAGTATAAAAAAAAGATTTTATACTATTTAGAGAACTATACAAAATAATATAAACATGATTTCCTTTTTTCCACTTTTCGGGTGATTATTTTTTGGGAAAAATATTTGGAGGAACCAAAATAAGATTGGTTATTCATCCTCCTCCCTAGAGGTGTCCGAAAAGCCCGCGACCCGGGCCCGGCCCGGCCCAGGTTTTGCCCGGATGCCCGGGCTAGACCCGGGTCAGGGCCCGGGTCGGTTTTTTAGAAACCGGCCCGGAACAGTGCCGGGGGGCATGAGATCCGGGCGGCGGGCCTCCGGAGCCCGGACCGGCCCGATGAAAGATCCAACCAGAAGGTGATCGTTTGTGCAGGTAAACAATCCGGGTGGGGCCGGACCGGGCCGGTCGGGTCAGCGCCGGGCTGCGCCGGGCCCGACCCTGGCCCGACCGTTTAGCCAGCACGGTCACCCTCTGGTGGATCGTTTCATCCGGGCTGAGGGCCGGCCCAGGGCCCCGGGGACCGCCCGGATGTAAAACGATGCACCAGGAAGTGTGACGCGTTTTGTGTTAAAATTGTCGGGGTCGGGCTGGCCCGATCCGACCATAATGGTCATATTGGGGTTTTGACCTTTTTGCCCCCCAACAACAGTCAAAAAACGGTCAAAATATGAGTTTTTTTTTGTTATTTGCCTAGGGGGCTGCCTCTATAAATAGAGGAGGGTTTTCACTTCTTCTCCTCACATCAAAACTCTTCTACTTCTCTCTAATACTCTCTTATATAATATTATACTCTCTTATAATCTCTTATATTTCTAATACTTCCATCAAATGGCTTCTGGATCTGAATATGAAGAGCAAAAGCTATCTCCTACTGATCCAGAAACGAGTCCTTCTACAACAACTACTCCTCCTACCGGTGTTAATCCTGAATCTGGCGACGATGAATCTGCACCAAGAGCTCCTAAAAGGCCGAGATCCGACGTGTGGAATTTTTTTGAGAAGATAGACGTCACCAAGGATGAACACGGTAGGATCATCACCAAAAAGACTAAATGTGCGTTGTGCGGCCAGATTTTCCAAGTTCATCATAAGAGCAGCACCAACTATCTCAAACGCCATATTGAAAAACACAACAAAGGCCAGAATCTTCAAGATGATATCCGACAATCTATTATTTCTCAATCCTCCTCCTCTGGTAGTCTCGGTAGTTGAATTTATGACGTTGCCCGAGCCAGGAAATGCGTAATCAGGTTTATCATTCTTAAAAACCTTCCTTTTAGATTAGTAGAAGATGATGAATTTGAAGATTTGTTTAGAGATGGTTTTATCCCGCATTTACCAAATTTTCTCGTCAAACCTGCCAACATGATATTCTAAAATATTATCAGGAGGAATAAGGAAAAATAATTTCTTATTTTAAAATTTAAACTATAAATTTTCTTTAACTTCTGATATTTGGACATCTAGAGTGCAAACTGGTTATTTATGTATCACAGCACACTGGATTGATAAAAATTGATAAATGTTTAAAAGAGTTGTTTCTTTTATTGTAATTAAAGAGTCATATACTGGTATTAATGTTACAAATTTAATAATTGAAGAACTTATGAAACTAGAAATTGATCAAAGAATATTTTCTCTTTTCCTAGATAATGCAAGTAGTTGTTGATTTTATCAAAATAACTTTATCATTACTATATCATGGTGAACTTTTTCATATTAGATGTATCTGTCATATTTTAAATTTAATTGTTCAAAATATATTTTCTGAAATTAAACCCATGATAGAAAAGGTTAGAACGGTTACTAATATGCATAATGCTTCTGAAATGAGAATTAAAAGATGAAAACAATGTTGTAAAAGAAAAAATTATAAGCTCAGACTAATTCCAAAAGATGTTGACCATAGGTGGAATTCCACTTGTACAATGTTAAGTGTAGCAATAGAATATAAAGAAATTATAAATGATTTTATAACTTTTTATGCTTCTAGTTCTAGTTCTGGTAGTAGTTATGGAATAACTGAAGATAAATGGATACTTATATGTATTTAAATGAGATGTTACAAGTCTTTTATGATGCTACAATGTTATTATTTGGCTATTATTAGCCAACAATTACTTTAGCTGCTTTACAAATTTTAAATATTCAAAAGTTTTTTTCAAAATATCGCATGGTTGATACTTTTGGATCTATAATTTTTTATATGGAAAGCAAATTTAATAAGTATTTTAGGTCTATTCTTTATATTTTTGGTTTGGGGATTCTTATTGATCCATGTTTGAATGATCTCGAAGTTTGTTGCAATCATTATATGGTGGACAGATTATAGACTTAGATGATGGATCTACCCTTACTGCTACTTCTCATCATTTAGCTATTAGAAATTATTTTCAAACATTATATGATAAGTATGCAGGTAGACATGGTATAGCTGCACCACAGTCTACAGCTTCGGCGCCTTCGAGCACAGGCTGAGGTAAAAGTATAAGTTTTGATAGGTATGCAATGGTAGCTAAACTAACTGGTGGATCTGAACATGGATCAGCATTAGAGGCTTCTGAAATAGATGAATATTTATCTGATTCCTTAGTTAAATATCAAGAAAATGCTTTAGATATTTTACAATGGTGTAGAGTATATGGATCAGTTTCATATCATATACTTTCCACCATGGTTCGTGACTTACTAACAGTGCAGGTTTTGACGGTAGCTTCGGAATCCGTCTTCAGCACAGCAGGACGTTTGATCGACAACCACAGGACATGCTTAGATCCGTATACTGTACAAGTGGTGATGTGCTTATAAGATTGGTGGAGGTACGAGAAGCGAACGCAAGGCATCGATCGGATGACAAGAACTGAAGATAAATTTAAAGAGTTGGGACTAACAGATAGGTATAAAGATTAGATAATATTCATCGAATTGTAATTTTTATTTCTTAGCTTTAAATTTGTAATGAATTATTTCAGAAAAAATTACAAATGATAGTGATATAGGTGAGTAGGTGCCAACCTAGTTGGGATGTACTCATCTATTGTGATGCGATAGATTCTAAAATAAATTTATACTTGTAAAGGATTTACTGATTATTAATAAAGAAGTTATTTTTATCATCTTTTATTTTTATAATTTTTTATACTTATAATTTATGTTATTTCAAGTTAGTTAAAAAATTTATGTCATTTTCTATAATTTTATGTATGTTTTATGATTTATGGGGATTTTTAAAAAATTTTAAAAATTAAAAAAAATTAAAAAATTAAAAAAATTAAAAAAATTAAAAAAACGGGCCGGCCCGGAGCCCAGCCCGCTCAGGCTCGGGCCCGGACCTGGCCCGGGCCAACCGGGGGCTCGGGTCCGGGCTTCGGTTTTGCCCGGCCCGGACCCGGTTTTCCGGGCCAGGCCGGTCCGGATGGACAGTCCTACTCCTCCCCAGCCCAAAAAACATAACCCCCGAGCCATCATTCTGAAAAAAGAGTGCAATAACCCTTAAACAGTATACTGACCCACTCCCCAACAAAGGCATTCCCAAATTACTCTTCCCAATTTAAAACCGAACCCAACCCTTCAAGGCCAACCCTCTTCCCCTCAAGACCGCCGCCGCAGCCGACCGCCGGAACAACGGCCAGACAACAACCCTCCACATCGTCGTCGTTCTTCTCGCCGCCCCCAGGGGCCTCCTCCAGCAAGCATGCATCAAATCCCACCCTTACTCCTCCCACCCCCTTCAGTGTCGGGCCCTCGATCTCTGCTTCTCCGTTGCCCTCGATCGATTGCCTTCGAACCCCAAAAACTCCTCGTCTGAGAACTCAACGGACCTGGCTCTATCGAACGCGCTGATGGCGGCGTTGAAGAGGGCATAGGCACATCAACGGCGAGGGTGCGATGAGCAACAACAGAGCTTGCTACTCGCCGTGAAGGTGGAGATCGAGTAGCTGGTGGTCTCGATTCTCAATGATCCCAGTGTTAGTAGGGTTATGAAAGAGGCGAGCTTTTCGAGCCCCGTGGTTAAGGCGGCGATCGA